CTTGATGACACATGCAGTTGGAAAAGTTGCATAAAATAGACATTCTCACATGCTACTTACAGGAGTGCAAAAATGGAACAGCCCAATACAGAAGGAAATTTGATACGCTCTACTAAAATTTCATGTTGATCAAGTAGCTCAAGAGTAAAGAATCTGCCTGCCAATGCAGGAGACACAAGAGACATGGCTTCAATCCCTGAGTTGGGAAGATCCCCTGGAGTAGGAAATGGCAATCCACTCCAATATTCTTGCCTGTGAAATTCCATGGACAGAGGAGCTTGGCGGCCTACAGTCCATGGGGTCACAAAGTCAGACACTATTGAGCACCACCACCCCTCATCCAGTGATAAACAGTAAGCACTAAAATCTAGAACTGCATCCCAAAGATACACTGGCAAAGTTAGTACATGAGACCCTGATGCTGGGAAAGATTGGGGGCAGGAGGAGAAGGGGGCGACAGAGGATGAGATGATTGGGTGGCATCATCGACACAACAGACATGAATTTGAGCAAATTCCGGGAGATAGAGAAGGAAAGGGAAGCCAGGCATGTTGCAGCCCGTGGGGTCGCAAAGAGAAGGACATGACTAAGCGACTGAACCATGACAATCTGTTCAGTGCAGTGTTACTCAAAGTAGTAAAGGATATGAAGGAAAACAATTGTCCATCCACTAACTATGCTGCATTCATACATGGAGTGCTGTGAGGCTCTAAGAAGGAGTGAAGGAGGTCTCAGTACATGCCCTCAAGTGGGCTCCAGGATGTGTGGATGAAAGTAAGGTGCTGACCAGGGTGTATAAAAGGCTATCACTTTTGTAAGAAAGGAGAATAAACAAACACAGATTGTAGGTCACATTTGAAAAAAATAATGGAAAGATAAACCAAAACTTAGTAAACTATTAATCCATCAGGGAAATTAAAAAAACAGGTGGAGGGGACTGTGATGCAAGCCAGACCTCTGTGCATGAATCTTGCAGGGAGTTATTGCAGGTGGTTCTCAGAATACATGAGAAAGTGATATACAGCCAGTCAGGTCACTACCAGCAATCTCACTGGAGCCGTCTGGAGTTGACTTGTACTAAGTGGCAAGAGTCAAGTATTAACTATTCAGGAATTTCACAAACTGGCTGTTAAACTACTAGTAACTTGATACTGGACATGATCAAGGTGTTCCTGTCTGAGGACTGGCTCAGATCTAGGATCAAGCTTTCTATTGGGGTGACTCCCTCCCCTTCCCATTCAACCATCTTAGATTTCTGCTATTTTAGGGGTTTTGTTTGGGGAGTGGGTATTTTGTTTTACAGATTTTGAAGAGTATACGAGTGATGGAATCTAGCTTCCTGAAAAAAGATGGTGATCTGCAGTGTTTGCCAATTTTCTTGATGTAAGTGCTCCCACCTCAGAAGAACCCTGCAATCAAGAGAAGTGTGCATGCATGCTTTCTCAGTCACTCGGTTACGTCCAACTCTGTGCAACCCCATGGACTGCAGCCCTCCAGGCTCCTCTGTCCATGGGATTCTCCAAGCAAGAATACTGGAGTGGGTTGCCATCTCCTTCTCCAGGGGATCGTCTCAACTCAGGGATTGAACCTGCATCTCCTGCATTGGCAGGCGGATTCTTTACCACTGAGCCACCTGGGAAGCCCCAAGACAAGTTTATGTAGTAAGAATTATTCCAGTTTTTCCCCACCCCCAGCATTCACCCATGCAACAATACGAGGGAAGAGAAGAACCCCAACATTTTGAGGACGGTTGAGCACAGAGTTCAGTCCTGAAACATCCTTATGGGCTCTGTGTCCATAGGACAGAGGGAAGCAACGTCTTTATTTAAGTCCAGGCCCACAGACCAACTCAGAGGTCATTCCTATATCTCGGGATGTGTAATTGGAATGGAAGTCCCTGGTGTTTAAAACAACCCCACATTCATTCCAAACTTTGGAAGGAAGTCTCATATTAGCAAAGATAAGCCTCTGAAACTGCTTCCCCTGTGCCCCGAGTCAGGAGAGTGCTTCAAAATCAGCATTGCAACCTGGGAGCAGTGGCAGAAATTAGTGCTGCTTTAAAGACCTGAAGGATGTGGGGGTGGTTCCCCATAACATCTCCACTCACCAGTCTACAAAAACCAGTTGGATCCTCGGAAATGACAAAGAACTACTGCAAACCCACCAATGAGTAGCCCCAATTGCAGCTGCTACAACACACGTGCTGTGTTTGCTGGAGCAGCCGAACCCAGCATTCAGTGCATGGTAAGCAGATAAATCAGATCTCATCAGCATTTTAAAAGTCTATCAAAGGACACTGTCAAGAGAGGGAAAAGACAACCCACAAGATGAGGGGAAATATTTGCAAAAAAATAATTCTGATAAAGGGCCTAGTGGTCAGAGTACATAAAGAATGCCTATAACTGGACAACAAGACAAACAACCTAATTTAAAATGGACAAAGTGCTATCATAGACATTGTTCCAAAGGAAATATACAAACACGCACAAGAAAGGAATTACAATGTCATTGGCCATTAGGGAAATGCAAGTCAAACACAAGGAGATATCACTTCATGTCCACTAGGGTGGCTGTAATTTAAAACAAACAAATAAATGAATAGAAAATAAGTCTCAATGAGCATGTAAAGAAATTGGGATCCTTGTACATTGCCAGTAGAAATGTAAAATGGCACAGCTGCTGTGGAAAATGGTCTAGTGGTTCCTCAAAAGTTTGCCATATAACCCATCAAATTTACTTCTAGGTACACACCCAAAAGACTTATTAATAAAAAGAGATATTCAAACAAAAGCTTGTACACAAATATTCATCACACCTTATTCACACTAAGAAAAGTGTGTTGCTGTTGTTCAGTCGCTCAGTCCTGTCTGACTCTTTGCAACCCTGTGGACTGCAGCACCCCAGGATTCCCTGTCCATCACCATCTCCTGGAGCTTGCTCAAACTCAAGTCAATTAAGTCAGTGATGCCATCCAACCATCTCATCCTCTGTAGCCCCCTTCTCCTCCTGCCCTCAATCTTTCCCAGTGTCAGGGTCTTTTCCAAAGAGTTAGCTCTTCATATCAGGTGGCCAAAGTACTGGAGCTTCAGCTTCAGTCCTTCCGATGTATGTTCAGGGTTGATTTCCTTTAGGATGGACTGGTTTGACCTCCTTGCAGTCCAAGAGACTCTCAAGAGTCTTCTCCAGCACCACAGTTCAAAAGCATCAATTCTTTGGCACTCAGCCTACTTTATGGCCCAACTCTCATATCCATACATAACTATACGGACCTTTGTGAGCAAAGTGATATCTCTGCTTTTTAATATGCTATCTAGGTTTGTCATAGCTTCTCTTCCAAGAAGCAAGCATCTTTTAAACCAAAAGGTGTAAATGGCCCAAATGTCCATTGACTTACCAATAAATAAAATGTGGTCTATTTCTATGAGGAATATTATTCAGTCATAAAAAGGAGGGAGCACACATATATGCTACAAAGTAGATGGACCTTAAAAACATTATGCCACGTTGGAGTCAGACACAAAAGGCCACCTACTGTGTGATTCCTTTTATATGAAATGTGCAGAACAGGCAAAGCCATAGAGACAGAAAGCAGAGCAGTGATTGACAGGGACTGGGGAAGGTCTACTTAATACTACAAGATTTCCTTTTGGGAATGTCCTGGAACTACATAGCGGTCATAGTTGTACAGTGTTGTGACTGTACTAAATGCTCCTGATTTGAACACTTTAAAATGGTTAATTTTATATTATTTGTTACCTGTAATAAAAAATATACCTGCTAAGGATTTCTAACAGGGAGGCCCTCAAAGCTTCCCTGGTGATCCAGTGGTTAAAAATCCAGCTGCCAATGCAAAGAACCTAAGTTTGGTCCCTGGTCTGGGAATAGCCCACGTACCACAACTACCAAAGCCCATATGTCCTAAAGCCAGTGCTCCACAATAAGATAAGCCACTGCCAAGAGAAGCATGCACCCTGCAACAAAGAGTAAATCCCATTCACCACAACCAGAGAAAGCCTACATGTAGCAACAAAGACCCAGCTCAGCGAAAAATTAGCTAAGTAATTTTTAAAGAAGAGTGAGGACCTCAGACTGTGCAGCACTGGGTATTATCAGTGTTGTAAATCTTGGCTGATCTTGTAGGTGGGACACTTGTGTTTTAGAGACTTTAATTATCAGTGATATCCAGTAGCTTTTCATACATTGATTGGAAATTTGAATGAACTGTGTGTTTGTGTTTGATTCCTTGGTATCATATCCTGCTTTAGTTGTAAAGACTTTTAAATTCTATACTGCAAATATTTTCTGGCAGTTCAATATCTTCACTTTATATGCCAAAAATATTTCTTTTGGATTCTGATTGAAGTTACTTCAGTGATGGATTGATCCAGAAAGAGTGGCGATTCAGTCTACAGCCTTGAGTTTCTTGCTCACAGCTCTCGGGTCCCAGTGGATATATGTTGTGTGTGTTCTTTGATGAAGTTTACTATTTCGCTCACAACTTATCTTCTTAGTATTGCTCTTAGGTATAGTTTGGGCTACGGTAAAGCTAGGCATCTTTCCCTATGTATTCTCACACTGTTGAGGCTGGCGTGAAGTGGGGAGGGGCTGCAGTGGCTGGGAACTTATCTCCTGCTCAGCCCCTCCCTCCGTGAACGTGACTTAAGAACCCTGGCAGTCGTTCAGCAGAAACTTGCGTCTTGTATTCTCCACAAGTTTTCTGGAGCCAAACAAAGAACATATGGGAAAACAGACTCTTGCAGCGTACTTACATGTTTAATGAGTAAAATCTAATTGTAGAAAACACAGCAGCCCTAATGAGGGTCTCATGCAACCAGCTCCAAACAGCAACAAGGAAGGGAGGGCGTGGGAGCCTCCAACCAGGGCCACGTGCATACCCAGAGCGGGTATAAAAGCAGACATCCCTGAGCCCCTCACTCACACACTCACACTCACTCACACTCATACACACTCACACCTCCTCCAACCCCACCACCTCCACCATGGCCGCCTCAACCTTGTCTGTCTGTTCCAGCGACCTGAGCTATGACAGCCGGGTCTGCCTGCCCGGGTCCTATGACTCCTGCACCGGCTCCTCCTGGCAGGTGGACGACTGTCCAGAGAGCTGCTGCGAGCCCCCTTGCTGTGCCCCCAGCTGCTGCACCCCGGCCCCCCGCCTGACCCTCCTCTGCGCCCCAGTGAGCTGCGAGTCCAGCCCCTGCTGCCAGCCAGCCTGCAGCAGCTCCTGCCTGGCCTCATGCTGCCAGCCGTCTAGCTGCCAGCCCTCCTGCTGCACCTCCTTCCCCTGCCAGCAGGCCTGCTGTGAGCCCGTCTGCTGCACGCCTGTCTGCTGCACGCCTGTCTGCTGCACCCCTGTCTGCTGCAGGCCCGTCTGCTGCAGGCCCATTTGCTGCAGGCCCGTCTGCTGCAGGCCCGTGTGCTGCAGGCCCGTCTGCTGTGAGGTCTCCCCCTGCTCAGCCCCCTCATCCTGCAGCAGACCCTCCTCCTCCGTGTCCCTGCTCTGCCGGCCCGTGTGCCGCCCCGCCTGCTGCGTGCCCGCCTCCTCCTGCCAGCCCAGCTGCTGCCGCCCGGCCTCCTCTGTGTCCTTGCTTTGCCGGCCCGTGTGCCACCCCGCCTGCTGCGTGCCCACCGCCTCCTGCCAGCCCATCTGCTGCCGCCCGGCCTCCTCTGTGTCCTTGCTTTGCCGCCCCGTGTGCCGCCCCGCCTGCCGCCCCGCCTGTTGCGTCTCCGCCTCGGCCCCGGAGCCCTGCTGCTGACCGGCGATCATCCGTCCTCCACAAGCTGCTGTCTCTCTCACAAGCTCCAGGAGCCCCTCTGCTGGTGCCAGGACCTCCCCTCTCCCAAAGGTGGACATGCAGATGCTGTCCAGAGGGGATTCGAACTTGGCAGGCATCCCAGAGAGCCCTCGACAGGGTGGAGGGTGGGGCCCCAGGAGCCTCCTCTGCAGGACGGGCTGCTTGAATCCCATATGACAAACACAAGCTTCTATGAATAAAGTGTTTATGTCAGGAAATACGGACCCATGTCTGCTTCGCCCTCCTCCCTTGGGCCCCTTCCGCCCCTCCAAATTTGGCCTGTGGGTGCTTTGCCGGCAGAAGCCAGGCAGTAAAGACACATTCTCCCGCCCGAGTTCAAAGCAGCTGAGGGAACACAGGATCTGAAAGCTGGTGCCATCCACACATTCCATGTCCCTCCCTACCCTAGGCCCACTCTCCCTGCAGCGGACGGCCCTTCAAGGCCGGCGTGGGAGGCGGGTGTGGGTGCAGAAGGCTCAGATTCTGAGTGGGCCCTGGGTTCCTCCCACACCCACCCCCTGCCCATGCAGATTGAAGGTGACTTGGGGAGCAGCAGAAACCCTCCTGGGTCAGGATCTGAGTCCAGGGCGAGTGCCGTTGGAGAGAGCTGCCGACACTGAGGAGGCTTGCCTATATGCTGGTCTGTGTATGAGATTCTGTTTGCTCCAAGGGGGTGCAGTGTCAATTTAGACATCACTCATTCTATTCAAGGTTTCAAGGCCTGACTGAGGAGGGAGAGAACAAAAGAGACGCCTTGTGAACAAACCCTCAGGACAGTAGGGGAGAAGGAGCCTGCAGTCTTAGTGGACACTAGCAATAGAGGAGGTGGGCACCAGTCAGCACCAGGCACCCTTATCCCCCCACTTATCCTCCCACCAGAAACAGACTGATGAGGCCCATAGGAGCAGGAGAAGAGTGGAGGCTGGGGCAAGAGGGGCCAGGAACTGAAGGCATCTCCCCACAGGATACCCCCAGCCCAGCTCAGCTCCACCCAGGAAAGAGGAAATGGAGCAAAACCCTAAGAGGACCTGTAAACAGGTAGGGGCCAGATGTAAACCTGCCTCAACTCTTAAATCTCTTTCCTGAGTTTACTCAAGACATGTACCGTTTTTCTCCTTTGCCTTTAGCTTCTCTTCTTTTCACAGCTATTTGTAAAGCCTCCACAGACAACCATTTTTGCCTTTTTGCATTTCTTTTGCTTGGGGACGGTCTTGATCACTGCCAAGTGATCAAAGGCAAAGGAGAAAAGGAAAGATATATGCATTTGAATGCAGAGTTCCAAAGAATAGCAAGGAGAGATAAGAAAGGCTTCCTCAGAGATCAGTGCAAAGAAATCGAGGAAAACAATAGAATGGGTAAGTCTAGAGATCTCTTCAAGAAAATTAGAGATACTAAAGGAACATTTCATGCAAAGATGGGCACATTAAAGGACAGAAGTGGTATGGACCTAACAGAAGCAGAAGATATTAAGAAGCGGTGGCAACAATAAACAGAAGAACTATACGAAAAAGATCTTCATAATAGCCACGATGGTATGATCACTCACCTAGAGCCAGAGGTCGTGCAATGTGAAGTCAAGTGGGCCTTAGGAAGCATCACTACGAATAAAGCTAGTGGAGGTGATGGAATTCCAGTTGAGCTATTTCAAGTCCTAAAGTGTTGCACTCAATATGCCAGCACATTTGGAAAACTCAGCAGTGGCCACAGGACTGGAAAAGGTCAGTTTCAAGCCAAGCCAAAGAAGGGCAATACCAAAGAATGCTCAAACTGCCGCACAATCGCACTCGTCTCACACGCTAGCAAAGTAATGCTCAGAATTCTCCAAGCCAGGCTTCAACAGTACGTGAATCATGAACTTCCAGATGTTCAAGCTGGATTTAGAAAAGGCAGAGGAACCAGAGATCAAATTGCCAACATTCATTGGGTCATCGGAAAAGAAAGAGAGTTCCAGAGAAACATCTACTTCTGCTTTATTGACTATGCCAAAGACTTTGGCTGTGTGGATCACAACAAACTGTGGAAAATTCTTAAAGAGATAGGAATACCAGACCACCCTGACCTGCCTCCTGAGAATCTAAATGCAGGTCAAGAAGCAACAGTTAGAACTGAACATGGAACAACAGACTGGTTCCAAATCGGGAAAGGAGTACGACAAGGTTGTATATTGTCACCCTGATTATTTAACTTATATGCAGAGTACATTATGCAAAATGCTGGGCTGGGTGAACCATAAGCTGGAATCAAGATTGCTGGGAGAAATGTCAATAACCTCAGATATGCAGATGACACCACCCTTATGGCAGAAAGTGAAAAACTAAAGAGCTTCTTGATGAAAGTAAAAGAGGAGAGTGAAAAAAAGTTGGCTTAAAACTCAACATTCAAAAAACTAAAATCATGGCATCTGGTCCCATCACTTCATGGCAAATAGATGGGGAAACAATGGAAAGAGAGACAGACTTTATTCTCTTGGGCTCCAAAATCACTGCAGATGGTAACTGCAGCCACGAAATTAAAAGACGCTTACTCCTTGGAAGAAAAGTTATGACCAAACTAGACAGCATATTAAAAAGCAGAGACATTACTTTACCAACAAAGGTCCATCTAGTCAAAGCTATGGTTTTTCCAGTAGTCATGCATGGATGTGAGAGTTGGACTGTGAAGAAAGCTGAGCGCCAAAGAATTGGTGCTTTTGAACTGTGGTGTTGGAGAAGACTCTTGAAAGTCTCTTGGACTGCAAGGAGATCCAACCAGTCCATCCTAAAGGAGATCAGTCCTGAATATTCATTGGAAGGACTGATGCTGAAGCTGAAGCTCCAATACTTTGGCTACCTGATGCAAATAACTGACTCGTTGGAAAAAACCTAGTGAGTTGCTGGGAAAGATTGAAGGCGGGAGGAGAAGGGGACGACAGAGTATGAGATGGTTGGATGTCATCACTGACTCAATGAACATGAGGTTGAGTATGCTCCGGGAGTTGGTGATGGACAGGGAAGCCTGGTGTTTTGCAGCCCATGGAGTCCCAAAGAGTCAGACACAACCGAGCAACTGAACTAAACTACCCTTTACCTGTTCATTTCAATTTTAATAACATAGAACCATCTCCATAGATACGTGGACAAAGGCCTTGGTGGACTCTTCATAGCGCAAAGAGTTAAGAAGGGCATAGAGAAGGTTTCACTTCACCTCAACCCAAGAAAAGTGAGGTGCAGCGACATTGCCATGCATGGGAACCAGAACCTACAGCCCACAGCAAAGCTAGTGTTGTCCGTCGGGATGAGCAGTGCATCTGTGGGGTTCCTGACCGGATAGCGATGTCGCCATGCACAGCGCAACATAGGCACCCATGAAGACCGTGTGTGCATCCCGTGACACCAAGCCCAAAGCAGGTGACTCCCGCTGCTGTGCATCCATACGGGTCAGGCCGCAGCGCTGACCTGGGAGGAGAGCCAGTGAAAGACGTTCATGTAGTTCACCTTAGTAACAAAGTGACCATTCTAAATGCTCCGAGACTCTTCAGATCTCAGGCGAGCCTCTCCATCAGTGTGACGCCCTTATCATCCACGTGACTCAGCCAGGGACCGTCGCAACCCCAAAGGCATCCTGTGAACCAGAGCAACCCTTGAAGACTTCCTCTCCAGCCTGGTGGGCAGTGCAGTGGTGCCCTCCTGGGGGTAGTTGGGAGGGCAGCAGAAAGGTGGGACGTGACATCCAATGCCTGGCTTGGTGAAGATAAAGAGGCCTGGCGGGAGGTTTGGTTTGAATGGAAGCATATGAGGCAGTGCCAGGCACAGTGGGCGCTCTTAGAGTTCCCTCTTTCACATCTTCACAGTCATGTGACATCATAGTGATGGGAGTTTCTGGGTCTGTGCCTTCCGATAGGAAGGACGCCCCGATGGCGCTCCTTTTAGACTCTTTCCCAAATGGTTGTCCCTGGAACCCTGGTATGCCTATGGCTCCCTTCTCTGGGAAGCCCCCACCCCTCCCTAGGATGGCCCCAGTGACCCTGCTCTCAAAGGGCCCACGTTCACACCACAGGGGCTGATTTGGCACTTCCTGGGGCAGCCCTCTGTCTCCAGGGCCAGGCTTCCCCTTCCCGGAATATCATGGGCACCCCACGTGCGGGCCTGCACATTCCTCCTGTAACTGCCAGGATTCCGGACGGGACGGGGTCTTTGTGCACAGTGAGCTCATCAAGTGTCCAGTAGGTGGAATGCTCAAATTGGACCTTCCTCGTTCCTGAGGAAGCAAAACATCAGATGCCGCAGGACAAAGGGAGCCACGGTGAGGCCACAGGGTGAATGAGGGAGGGGCCAGACTCATCTTGCAGGTTTAAGATGTCCTCTGATGGGCTGCACTGTGTCCCTCCCAAAAAGGTATGTTGGAGTCCTAACCCCCAATACCTCTGAATTTGACCTTATTGGGAAATGTCCTTGCAGGTGTTGTTCACTCAGTCATGTCCGACTCTTTGCAACCCCATGGACGCCAGGCTTCACTGTCCTTCACCATCTCCCAGAGTTTTCTCAAACTCATGTCCATTGAGTTGATGATGACATCCACCCATCTCGTCCTCTGTCATCCCCTTCTCCTCCCGCCTTCAATCTTTCCCAGCATCAGGGTCTTTTCCAATGAGTCAGCTTTTCACATCAGGTGGCCAAATTATTGGAGCGTCAGCTTCAGCATCAGTCCTTCCAATGAATATTCAGGGTTGATTTCCTTTAGGATTGACTGGTTTGATCTTATTGTTCAAGGGACTCTCAAAAGTCTACTCCAACCCCACAATTTGAAAGTATCAGTTCTTCAGTGCTCAGACTTCTTTATGGTCCAACTCTCACATCTGTACATAGCTACTGGAAAGACCATAGCTTTGACTATAAGGACCTTTATCAGCAAAGTGATATCTCTGCTTTTTAATATGTTAAGGTTGTCATAGCTTTTCTTCTAAGGAGTAAGTTGTGATCTAG